ATTTTTCATATTTGATGTAACAGCAATAGTTCTGGCAACCGAAGCGAGATTAGGATTTTTTCTGGGAATATTTCAATTTTAGGTACTTTTGCAGATAAATTTAAAATTAATTTCCCAGGGAAAGAGAGAGTATCCTGGGAGCGAGGTTGCACCATTTATACTCGTCCTCAGGGTCATCTCCACTTTCAAGATGGCGGGCGGGCGGTTTATAGCGGTAGTTTAATTTAGTGATAGTCGGGCGCGAGATGTTTCTTGGTGAATAGATTGACGACCTCCCAGACCAATCAAAGAAAAAAAAATATTCGCAAAAATGGTTTGCCTGACTCACATGGCTTGCACCATGGCTCGCATGGCTCGCACGGCTCGCTGGCTCGCAGATTTTGCAGACCCATTTCAAGAAGGAAACACACAGGATAATAACAAAAAACATACCACACAGCTGGATGTCTTGAAAATGCTCCCCACGGAACATTAAGCATGTGTGCTCTCTCAGAACTGCTTGCTTCAACCATTTTAATGTTACCAAGTGCAAACTGTTCTCGCTTTTGAAATTGCTCAGGTAAAACTATATGAAATTTCCAAAGGTAGGCCCATAATAGTGCCACAATGCCATGAAAGATGAAGACGCTATGCCAGCCAAATTGAGAGAGGAATATTGAGCCCACGCTTCCCATGAACAACGTACTATGAAAAGAACAAATGAATTGTAGATTGTTTAGAATAGTAGATAAATAAAGAGATGAATAAAGAAGTAAATACAGTTCAACCCCTATTAAATGGCCACCTCGGGGAAATGGATAGTGACTACTTAAAAGGGGTTGGCTGCTTAACAGAGGTAAAAACAATAGAAAAGCCATCATCGGGACTTTGTTTACTGGCCGCCTAATAAGGGTGGCTGTTCAATAGGTGGCCACTTAATAGGGGTTGGACTGTAACAGAATATGGAAAAATATAAATACAGTAATTTGTGAAGGGTCAAAGAGCACTTTGAAATAATTATATAAAAGAAAAAAGTATTGAAACAATATTAGTATTTACACTGGTCAGATGATATTAATTTTATTCCTTACCCTACTGGACCACCAGCAAATATTGTACTTGTTAAAAATGTTCTGTCCTTTATAGGAATTCTTCTAGCAATGATGTTTGTTAATGATGGATAGTGCAAACCTGTAATGAAACAAAAATTTATGTAGATATAAAGAGCAACGGTTCAAAAAGGTTTTTCGTTTTTACTATAAGCAAATTAACAGAATGTGAATCAGATATTTGTCAGTGCCATGACAATACCATGGATGGTAGGGCAAAGCACAAAGTACGCTAACATATGGACTGTAATGCCACCAGTAAATCAGTTCCCAATTTCATATCTTCTTAAACATGCTTGTCTTCTAAAACATGCTCAACTTTGCAATGACTTGTTCCCAAAAAATTGTCAATCCAGGCACAGATTAGTCTCCTCCGCAGCCGTTATTAGGGTTGTCACACAACGCTTGACGGGAGAGAAGCGTTGCGTGATGACCCTAATAACGGCTGCAGAGGAGACTAGGCACAGATCTACATGTATACTGCTCTCTATCATTTTATGGAAATCAGTCAGAATGACTCAGAAACCCAGGAAAAGGGAATTTAGGAGATTAACGTGTATATTTTTATTTGCTTGACGGAATCTACATGAGATCATGATATGGAAATAAAAAAAAAATGGATATCAGTTTTCATTCACCATGTTTTAGCTATCTGAAAACATGAAATTTCCTCTCCAGTTGGTTTAGGAATTGGTTCATTTATCCTAGATCTGCACCTGCAATCCTTCTAAGATTCCATGTGAAAGATACATCTCATACGTCTTGAGCCACAAACCTTGTGAGAGTCCAGTGCACATCCTAGCAGCAATTATGATCATAGTGGGAGATACAAAGAGTATTGGATACATGGGAAGAAATGGTACAGCCAGAGTTAACAAGGACCAGATCACTCCTGCAAACCCCAAGATGAATTCACCGCCATACTTATCACTTAAATATCCACCAACAACCTGTGCCGGCATGTATCCCCAGAAGAATGCCGACATGATAGCTCCCTGAAATAAACAGCAACAAGTCAAGGTTTACATTTTTTTCGCTGACTCCAATAGGAAATATTGTGATATTCTCGCAAACAAAAATACAATGTAATAATTCTAAGAAACCCAAGAAAAAAGAAACATTCAGCAAAACATAGACATTTTTTCTACATTCAGTGGAACCCCACCTTATGACCACCCCATTAATACAACCACCTCATTATTATGGCCACTTTATTCTGGCCCAAAAAAAAGCTCAGTCAGTCATTTTCTTACTTAAAGAAACCCTTTGATATGACCACCCCATTAATGTAACCAATTTTTCATGGCCCGAAGGTGGTCGTATTAACGGAGTTCCACTGTAATTCCCATTTTTAATCAAATGCGTTCCAGCTTAAACTGCCAAACTTGATCAAACTCAGTCAAAGTCTAACTGCTCAAATTTTGTGTGAGAGTTCGATTATGTACATTTGCCGAACTCAGTCAAACCCAGTCACCTGATTACGCTCAACTGAGTTCAATTAAGTTTGATTAATCAAATTTTCAATTTAGTTCGAGTACAGTAGTTACTCTGGGTCTGTATAAAGGCCCTGATGCAGTGCAAATTGAAGGACAAAGGTGCTCGGAGACAAACTGCATGAAAGACTGCACTGCGTACACCACAAGGTGGAAACGATTGACCAGAACAGTGAATGTGCTGCGATATACACAACTTGGCCAAAACCAGATACTGATAGTTCTACTTTCCTGCAAGATACAGCAATGTACACCTGTGTGTCACAACAAGTTTGTGTGTTGTTTTGAACAATTCATCTTGTTTACCACCAGCACTTTGACAGGTGGCCCCGACTTTGCTCCAGTATCCATCTAAACTCTTGGGTGGGGCACAACACGGCCTAACCCAGGAACACAAAACAGTGACCCCAGATAGCACTAGAATATAGACATATCGATCCAGAGTCTAAGCAACGTACTAACCAGTCACAACTTTAGGTTAACAGGCATAATATTAATCGATAAATATTTCACTTCCTCCTCTCCACATGCAGCAGGTAAACATAAGGGGCTTGTGCGTGTCCAGGTATTACTTTAGGACTGTTACTGACCAAGTTGTATAAACTTTGTGTACGCACATGAAATAAAATTATTCGTGAATTAACAGTGCAAAAGAGAGAGATCTTCAAAACATTCGGTATTGCTCATCACGACTAATCTTATTATAACTACATACACCGAATTGCAGTCGTTTCGCCCGAAAACAGTTCGCCCGGACTACCTCAGAACGTCTTAGTATAAGATTTTAGTTTTTACGGAGTAACTGTGGTTTCGCTCTGACTGTTAGCTCCATGGTCTGAAAGTGAATTAAAGAACGAATCCAACGAGAAATACTTCAGTTTAAAAATGTCATATACTGTGTAATTTTGTTTCACTATGCCTATAATGTTGACTTTTTCACTCGGCTAGCTCAAGGAAACCATCAGTCTGGGCGAATTGGCTATCAACTGCTTGAAGATACTACAAACTTACATCAATCTCCTTGTCCCAATTCATGTCAGAACTCATAGCTGCCAGACACAAGGGCACAGCCGATCTCGTAGCGTACAATAACAGAGTGCCACAAAACATCGCTACTATCCAATGCTTTCTACTTTCCTCTGGCCACTGAAATCCATTGTCTGATTTGCGACGATCACTTTCCATGTCGATTTTCAATCGGATTGGTACCGAAGTAGTCATTTGTTTAATTCTGTTCTTTGGTTTAAATGATTTTCTGATACGAAGATCACTTCAGTCTTAAGGCATATATGGCATTCATGCACGTTACAGTGAGGCAAAGTGATTCTGTCGACGATCTTTCCAGTGACTTCTGGAGTTCTTCTGCCAAATAAACCTATGCGACCCACATCTGCACTAATTGATTAGGAAGGCATCTTTCTATCCAGTTCTCTTTGAAGCGTAACAATATCGCAATCCTTATTGAACAGAGACTTACTTCCGTTATCTAACAATAAAGAGTTCAGTTACCGGTCCCATCAAGTGTATTCGAGTCGCCAATAATCCAAAACTGTTTACCAAAATGAAATCGACTAAACGCCGTGCGCCTTCGCTTTGCCACGTCTGACGAGACCGGGAGATACCATGCGACCAAGCCTGGTGAAGGTTCCACTCTAATCTCCCGTGACTCTAGCTTCCGAAGACAAACTTTCCGGTAAACTTTTCTTTTGTTTTGAGTTTTTTGTCCATTTTTAGCGCGAATCATTGTAATTTGTGTTGCTAGGTCGGGATACTCGAAAGTCAAGTTCGTCCGAGCGAGCCTAGGGAGAAGCCTGTTTCTGTATCGGGAGCCTGTTCACAGAGTAGAAGAACGGAAAAAATGTTGGGAAAACCAACGAAATTTAAGAAGTAAAAAACCGAAAGCCATACCTACGTAAACAAATAAATCAACTTCTTTTTAAGGTGGCTCGATAAGCTGAAAAATGACGACGTTCAAGAAAAATGTAATTTTTAAAAAATATATAAGATGTTAAGTCCTTGAATACTTGTAAAAAGCATGTTAAAACGATCTTGCTGAATTTGAGTGTGAAATTCAAAGAAAGTACACAGTAGTAAATTTTTTTTACGTAGCAACGGCCATAGCGACGGTCGTTTACAGTCAGAAAGTGACCACAAATATAGATCAGTTTGAACAAATAAGAACGATAGTTTCTAGAAAGGCTGTTAAGACATGCACAACTCGATAATTGTAATTACTTGTGGAAAGCGTTGCCTGAATCACCATCACAGGCTTGTTCACTTACTATATAAAAAGTAATATTTCCTACAACTACGGTAACTTTTTACAAAATACAACAACCATTACACTCCCCCGATATGCAACCTGGAAAAGCCCTCCACTTGCTGGCTTGTTAAATGCTTAATACATCGTGTAAGAAACTTTAAGCGCATTTTTCTCAAGCGCCTACATTTATACCAACTAACTTCGCGCCAAAATGTCTACTTTGGAAAGTATTTAAGAGAAATTCCTGAAACTTGGGATAATCAAAGACCGATGGGACCAATAGTGTCGTGATGCAATCAACAAAAAAATCGTCACAGTTTATCACCTGTCACGTGACACTTGAGTCGCACACTCGCGAAAAGACGGTGTGTGCAACGTGCGGGTGGGGGACTCGCATATAAAAAAGACATGGTTTGTCGTCGTACCGTTAAGGGGTTAAAAACGCGGTTTTAGCACCTCTTGGGGTGTTCAGCCTCAAATGGTCTACAGCAGAGGAGCTTTTGCAGTACCTTTTAGGGTCTTGATCGCCCACAAAACAGGATCCTAGTACCTCTTAGGGGTTCCTTTCAAATTTCCCGCCGAGCACCCTGTTCTTTTTATATGAGAGTCTTTAGTCCGCAAGTCGATTAGCCCCTCGCCGGTTACCCCCCTCCCCCAACCTGAAGTCGATTAACCCCCCCCCCCTCAAGAAATAGTCGACTATGTTTTTGACTTCTGGTCGGGGGCTAATTGACCTCTGGTTGGGGGCTAAACGGTTAAGGGCTAATCGACTTGTTACCGTGGGACTGGAGGAGACGACTGAAGTTCAGCCGCTAACAATTCTTTCAACGCGCGCTCGTACCTTCAAACACACACGACACAACAAAGGGCCGGGGTTTGTTCAATTGTAATTTTCAGCTGATATCGAACAAGATACGAAGATTTCTTCTTTGTCCCACGCTCGTGTCATGTTGATCAGTTCACTTGTCACATTTCATTACCGAACTTAAAATTCACCATCTTTATTCACTTATCAATTGTAAAACTGTTATAAATTTACAAAGCAAGCTTACGAAATTAACCTCGTTCCCACGGTTTTTCCTAGCAACAAGGTTGTTCGAAATCCCACGCAGCTGTGAAGATTTTTTTCTTATTCTTGCAGTTTTCTAAGTTCCATGATTATTTTTTTGAAGCATGGTTATTCATGAGCCGGCTCCTGTTATTCAAATATTAAAATAGGAATTTTTGCCGTTAGGATACCGAAATGAAATTACAACTAATTGGGCTTCTTTTGTCAAGCAATTAACTTCAAGCAGCTTTTAACAAAACTAGAAGTGGAACAGGTGTTACTGATTGCTGACCCCAGAGCGGGTTCAAAATAATAAATCAATTTCAGCTATTACTTTTCCCACACTTAAGAGTATTTGATAAAAATGTCAATTGTATCATCAGTTATACTTCTCCTGTTCGTTCTCACAGTTACAATCAACCATCTGTTGGATAGAGGGTAAGTTCATTGTACAATTAAACTGAAACAAAAAAGCTTTTATAGAAATCAAGGTTGATTTCAAAAAGAAAGCAACGTAAACTACGTTTTGAAGTCATCTTGACACCATTATCAAGAAGAGAAAAGAAAATAACGATCGAGACATTAACTAGTGTGAAAGGTGTAAGAATATATTAAAGAGTAACACAGTCTATTCGTAGTTTACTTTCGCTCCCTTTAGTAGTCAACTTTACTGTATTTCGAAATGTTTTCTCATCAAGGTTGAACGTAGAAAATCATCCCCAGTTAAACAAAACGTAAACTGATTCTCATTAGACTAAATTCATGCAATTTGTTCACGCTTTTGTGTGATGTCGATTGTTTCTTTCTATTAATTTGAGGGCATGTTTGCAAAGTTAATCTGCCTATCGTACAATGTGCCTGGTTGGTACGGTAGAACTATTATATAGATGTCTTGGGACTTATACAGCTGAATATTGAAGCGGGAGCTTCGAAATGTTTTCGTTATTTTACTGTATATATAGAGGAAGTTTGGAAAACTTACCAGGGTCAGCTATACTCGATGGCTTTAGAAAGGTTTCACGTTGGAATAATCAGTTGAACTGTAGCACGGTTTTCTCCACACTTTCAAAAGCAACGTTAGTTGGTCTCCTCATTATTCAGTGTTTCTTTTAATCCGTATTGCAGCGCTCCTGAGAAGTCGTTCAGGTTCAGAAGAAAACGACAGTATTTTTATTTCGATCTTCATTTTCTGAAGCCCTGGCCAAACGGACTCTCAAGTAGAGACAAGTCGAACTTGGGTCTACTTCCAAGTCTGTTTGGCCACCCAACGAAACTAGCTTCGCAAGTTCAACTTGCGACTACTTCTTGATGCCCTGCTTTAGTGTTTGTTTCACTAAATCCAGGGCGGCCGAAGCCACTGCAATGTGCGTGGTTAAATTCTGTCCCTTGGTATTTAGGGTATTTATGATGACTATAAAAAACAACAACGAAAAAATTCAAATGACTGAGGCAGGTGCCTCAGTTTGTCTGTTCCTAGCTACGGCCCTGGAATCTGTTGCCAAACCAAGAACTGAGTCATTGATCGACAATAAGTACTTGTGAGGGCTTCACTGACTTCGCTGCAGAGGAGCAAATCAGGTGATGGAAAAACCAAATTTCCAAAGAAATTTAGGATCAGGGCCTGGAAACTACAAATATCCGAAGCTCAAGGCTCTGGGGCTCTATGCCGCATTCTCTATGGAACAAAGCACACCATATGCTAACAGTAATTTTTTAATTTTTCAAGAACACTTAACCATGAACTCTGACCCAAAGCCAAAACATTGAGGTCCTAATGTAAGGCTCTAAAGCCCTCCCCCCCCCCAGAGGGGCGGGGGTACACCCAGACAAGTTAAGTGGAGGTGTGCGGCCCGCCTTCCAAACCCTTACCCTGTTTATGACCAAAATCTGCGATTTTTGCTCAGGCTACCCTATTTATGACCTGACCAAAAGTTCGATACCCTATTTAAACATAATTTATGAAGGGCTTTTGTTGATAGTCTTATCGATAACGATGAAAAAGAAGCTTCTTCTAAGAAACATACCCAATTCTAGACTAGAGTGCAAAAAACATACCCTATTTGTGACAAAAATTGCCAAAATCGATACCCAATTTGTGACCTAAACGGCTGAAAACCATACCCTTTGGGGCCGCACATACCTATATAGCCGATATAAGGGTTATATAGCCATGCTTTTAAGTTTGTAATTCCTAGAGCAAAAAAAGATATCTTTAAGTTTTCTTTCTTCCAACGAACAATCAATGAATGGAACATTCTCCCTGAGGATATTGTGAATACAACGTCCTTAGATAGTTTTAAATCAAAATTAGTTAATAGTTATTATTATTCAACTTTCATCCACTGTACGAATTCCGATTTTCTACCGAATTGGCTGATTTGTACCACGTGATACTGGGTTGTGACGAGACAACCACCTTGACGTCATATCGTGGTGTAAAAGCCGTGGTGTAAATTCAACACACCACTGTCATTACACCATGGCTTCGGCTGACTCAAATATAGTGGTTTCAGTGCAGTGTTTCTTTGCGAAGTGTATTCAAGGAATTTGAATAATTAAAATGTTAACGCACTCATTGCTCGTGAATTATCGAGATTTACCTGTACTCGTTCACTAACACTGAACTCGAAAATTTTCAATACCGCACGAGGCTTTGCCGAGTGTGGTATTGAAATTTCTCGTTCATTGTTAGTGAACTCGTGCAGGTAAATCCCGATAGTTCACTCGCTGAGTGCGTTAACCTGTAATTAATACTCCATTTTATTATATGGCTCTGTCTCACAAGGACTGGGAACTACCAAATTCACTAATTCGATTAGCCTGCGAACGCAGACGTATTTCCTACTGTCGCTTGTCTCCGCCGAAGATAACGTCTGCGAACCCGAGCCAGGAAACGATTTCTGTGACGTAGGAATTTTAAGCCAATCACAGTTTAGCTCAAGTAGCCCCAGAACTACTGCGCGNCTCGGGTTCGCAGACATTATTTTCGGAGACAAGCGACAGCCGGAAATACGTCTGCGTTCGGAGCCTTGAATTTGATTGACTGAAATCGATATTGAAAACGGTCTAGATTTTCCCATCTAGACCGGTAATGTTTTGCAGTGAAAAAGTTGCAAACTAAAATGCAAAATCTTTGAGTATTTTTATCTAACAATATTTATTTATGGAAGTGCCAAAAAGCCTGATAAGAAAAAAAAGTAAAGAGGACGAGCAAACTTTGGCAGAACTAAATTGAGCTCGTCACCGTTCGCAAGCAAAATGTCAGTTAGTACGCAAAACCAGTTACATTAAACGAATTAAATTGTTCTTGTTTGCGCCATATAATAAACATTTTATTAACCAAGCTTAGTTTTTCTGTATGGGAGAATCTTGACCTCCGTCGTGTGTACAGACCTCACTGCGTTCGGTCTGTACTCACGACCTCGGTCAAGATTCTCCCATACAGACCTCCTGCTCGGTTAATAAGAGCTAAGTATTAGTTTTATTTAGATTTTTCATTCTTTAGTATTTCATTGTATTGTTTTTATTCAGATTGTTAAAGTTGGTGTGATATCTCACGATTTTACCGACTCAGCTTATTGTAGATGTAGATGTAGATGTGGAAGGGAGTACCCCCCCCCGGTTCTAGAGATTCTCCCTTCCACACTTTAATTTGGATCCTAAAGTTGGGTACTGTATAAAAGATGTTGCTTGACATTTTATTTTTACCAGGTTGGGCAACTATGAGGAATCAGCAGAAAATAATAAAGAAAAACCTGAAAGATCCCAGAATGACTCACGGACAACAGAATCTCCCACCAGACCAGAAACAGACCTGTCCCTCTCAACCAGCGATGAAATAGCTACTGTTACTACGGCAATTTCTGATACCCCTCCGACTGAAGACGACTGAAGTACCCACCAGAACTCTCCGATGACTGAGAATTACTGTTATACTGTCGATCGAATCATTTGACACAACATTTGAGTCTCAAAAGCTGAAGATGACGAACTTAAGGAATGACCATTTCTCACGACAACGAAATTACGAGCATATATAGTGCTACCTTGTGTGTATATAGCAACTACGCCTCGTACTTCTGAGCCAGCTGCAGCTGGACATTCAGTTCCGTTTTTGAAAATATCTTTTGAGACTATAAGTGTTTCGAGGAACTGAACTGAACCTAGAAAGAAAAAACTCTACCCACTAAATACAGTGCTGTTATGCTGAGCAAAGAACAAAGTTAGAGCGGTGATCAATCGAGTGTCGAAAAGCAATTGGTTTTGCATTGCCAAGTCACGTGATTGCCCTAGAAGTTAGACTTAAACCAATCGTGACTCGTTCGCGCTTGTTTTCCCGCGCTTCGCGTCAGCTTCATGTAACTTCTTCTTATAGTTTTGATTGGTTTACTGTATTGCCTGTCTCTTTTGTGATTGGCTAGACTGGTTACTTTGATTTTGGTTTTACGACACTCGTTTGAAAACCTCTCCATATTAAAGAACAAAACCCTAACCCTAATAGTTTCCAAAGCAACAGTAAGGCTGCGTCGGAGTGCACGGAGAAACTTAGCTATTTGACCTTGAAGTTTTTATTTTTAGTTTGCGAAGCTGACGTTTCATGTCTAAAAATAACCTTATACTGAGGAATTCTCTTACTTTGATCGTCTCTTGGTTAGTAGCCATGAACTGTGATTTCCGAAATGATTTTCCGTAGAGAAATAAAGATAACAAACATTTATTTTGTAGTGGAACGTTACTTTGACTTGTGCCCTCTTTTATTTTCTACAACCCTATTTATGTGATTAAGTTGCAAAGCCGCGAAGTACAATTTCACGTAAGCGGTTTTCGTTTTTGTCGCATCGGTGGAAAAACTGAAGGAGGCAGAGGAATGGTGGAGATGTTGATCAAGGTTGGTCTTTAGACACCAAGTTTCAAAATTTCATTGGCTTTCAGGGGCGAATCCAGGATTTTTTAATGTGGGGTGGCTGATACCAATCGGCCACCAAACTATACCAAACTATACTATATATACTATACTATACGAAACTATACTATGTATTTATTTTAAGTTGTCCTTCGTTTGTCCTAAAACATGCCGATTTAGAGAGGACAAATTGGAGACCGTAACACTGCAAATTCTTGAAACGTATTTGTACATTTTTTTGGACCCGCGTATTTCCGTTTGTTTTTCCACGTATTATGTTTTTTTGGTGGGCTGTTGTAAAGGGAGGGGGGCAGGGGGCCAGCAACCCAATCCACCCCCCATTGGATCCGCCCCTGGCTTTTTTAAATTAGTTTTGCAAGTTTAGCTGAAACATGTCTCATCTGTCATGAAAGTAGAATGTCCCCTTCTATTCTCCGTAAATAGGGAAGTACCTTTTCATTTTTCGTGTAACGGAATCCAGACCCTCCCCTTCCCCTCCCTTTGCGTTCATTACCACCCTTGAGTAATTAATTGACGAAGGGCAAGAGGCATTTTTAGCGACAGGTCGGCCTACAAGACCCACAAGGGAGTTGACGCAGAGAGAGCAAGAGTTACAAAAACCGAGATTTTCACCACGTTTTCCATGATGTGGACATTGTCTTGTCAAAGGTAGAAGCGGTTACGAAATGTACTGATGCACGTTTAGAGAAGTCCATACCAAGTGGTACAGAACTCTTAGCCTTATCAAGAAGGTCTGCACACTTTCAATTTCGCTCAAATTTCTGTCAAACCATGTTACAAATTCCTGACTAATCAACATCCAGCCCCTTCCCGCCAAAATTACCGGAAATAGAACCCAGTCTTTTGAATCACATTGATCACGTGCGTGCCCCTGGACCCCCCCACATATTGTTGCTTGGAACAAATGCGAGTCGCGGTCGCATGTCCGTCGTGAAATTTTAGCTAAAATCACTCCAAAACAGGAAATTTGCCCGGCCCGAGGCCGAAACGACCATTTCCAGATACAGTACATTCTCCTACCAGTCGACATGAGGGAGCAATTTGGGTCCATGTACCGATAAAAGCCCGTGGATTTGGTCATATGCAAACAAGCACAGGTAGGCCATTCGATCGAACACGAAGATATAGTTTGTAATTTTACAAACGTATTTTGCCGGCTGTACCTCTTGGATGGGGGGCTGTTTGCCCCCCTTTTATCAGAATTTTTTTCAAGACGTTTAGAGCATCGAAAATTGGAGAGAAGCCTTACGAATATTGTTCCGGAAATTCTCATTGTCTGCCTGTAATTTTATATTTGCCTGTTCTGTGAAAAAAATAGGTCTATTTCTTAAATCCATTTCCTAGTTCTTAACTAACAAAACCTACTTTAAACTGCAGGGTCACCGGAGTTTATGCTAAGGCGAGAACAGCGGTTCGTTTGGCCGCTGTCCGTTTGAAATGATGGATGATGGCAGCGCTAAATGTCTTTTGGATGTGATAAAGTAAGTATAAATATTTACTGTCAGCAATATAAGCTTTGACATAGCACGTATTCAGTTAATCCGAAAGTTACAAAGAGGAAGTACTCGCTAGTTAGATGGGTAATCAAGTGCTTTATGGTAAATTTGTTTTTTCTCTACAGCGACCCTACTGCTCTGCAGGAATTCCTTAGAAGTAACAGCCAGGTGTGTAGAAATTTCTCTTGAGGAGCATGTGCTCTTTGACAGTACTCAGAACGTTACATGTTTTTGGTAACCATATATCTGGCTTATTGACTCAGTGGCTGACAGAATATGCATGTTGCTTCCTTTATTTTATGCTGCTGTATCGTTGAAAGTCATATAACATTTCAGTCATAACATAAAAGTAAAGCATAAGTTGACATTTAATATGACTGTGCAGTTGGGACATTAGTAGTTTAGTTAGTGAGAAAATTACGAAATTATGCTCTTCACGAATTAGCTTTTTTGTGTTGTAATTTTGGGTTGCCAGTAAAACCAGAGATTTTTCTGTTACTGCTATGTACACTGCTGGTGTAGTAGTGCATCAAGTGGTATCGCAGTTATTTCTGATCCATTGTAGGAGCAATCAGTCACACTTAGGCAGGATGTAATTTGACAGAGTGACACTGATTTCAGTGTCACTCTGTGTCACTCTGAAAATGTTGTAGTTCCAATTCAATGTAACTCTCTGAAAATCACAAAACTCAATATCCAGCAAGAAAAACCAGTCATTAGAATTGCAAAACTTAGTTCCCATAAGTTACAAAAAATCGCCAATCTGCAAAATTAATTACCCACATAATTACCTTAGTTAGATCCATGCCACCAGAAAACCTTTCCAAGGTAAAGTAGTGCCAAATTGTTAGGGAATGGTACTGGCAAGATTTCAAAATGTAAAAACAAATTGGTAAGATTGGAAGAAGGAATATAAGGTAAAGTCTGTGTTCAAGCCCAATCGCCCATCAGGTTGGTACTTAGCTCTTGTTTGCACTGCATGAAGTGACTGCATGAGGAGTATTTCTACTCTTCCGCTACTTAAGGTGAAGTGAGACCGTTGTAGGGTTATCTCTGGCATTACATTCACCAGCATCCGATTATACACCTGGGCAGAAAGAGACTCTGTGAGAGTAAAGTGTAATGCTGAAGAATGAAACACTGTTACCTCAGCCAGCTTGAACATGGACTGCTTAATCCTGAGTCCAGTATGCTTACCATTAGGCCACTGCAGGTCCCGTTCGAGAGAAGGGGTACTTCCAATTTTCCAAATTTCAACCACATGGGAGAGCACTGAAGAAGATCATACCATGACATAGTAAAGTTATGTGCAGAAAATCCTGTATTGTACAAAATAAAGCTGGTCATATGTTTGTTGTGCCGCCCTAGAGGAGAAACATCCAAGTATGGAAGAAAAGAAATAACATCCAATGCTATGGAAAGGAATTCTTTTTTGATATTTTGTAGCTCTCTGATAAAGCATGTCTTAAACATATTTTGCCATTTACTTTTAAATATTCTGACCTCAAAAATTAGTTACTGGCATGTAGTTTTGGTTGTAACACCAAAAATCAAGTTAGGCTGATTATGTAGGGATGGAAATTAGATATGCAGTACAAATTTGGCACAAATCACTGAATCTCCTGCGTTTGGATGCCTGTTTGTATATAGTGATCTACCAAGGTTAATTTGTTGGGTGCTTTTCCTTGTGGTAGAATGCATCTTGTAAGATGCATGTATTCTAGTATTGCTAGCATTATACACTTTGTTTTCCTTCTTAGAGCAATGCGGGTTTTTATATGTTGTGGGATATCACACTCTCATTTTGACAGGGGACAACAGTCATATTTTGGGTGACTTCACTTCTTTTTTGTAGTGCAAAGATTGCTTCTGTGACTGTGTATCTTTTGAGACTCCAAGTTCAGTTCAAGAAATGTCATTCCTTTAATCGCCTAAAAAGACCAAAAAGTTCATATTCGGACAAAACCTTCCTTAGTTGGGAACATTAAGAGTTGTTATTGAATTGTAAATTTGTGACCAAAGAAAATTCTCAAATATTGCTGCAGACTCCTATGCATGTACTGAAAGCATAAATTTATTTAATCAGTCTTTAAAGAGACTAGTTCATCGATGTAGGATATAATCTAAGTTAAGTAGCAGTGTTAACCTTCAGTACTTCTCATTAAAATGCGTCTCAGTTGTATTAATCATATAATTGTATATTAATTTTAAGTGGTGTTATTGTTGACACCGAAAGGTGGCAACAGAGTAAGAACATGCTATGTTGTGACTATTTGATAATTAAATTAGTTCTTGTTTATTGTTGAAATGGAAATTTGCATTTTAAATGAAACAAAATTGTTCCCCTTCCATTTTTTTCAGCAGAGTTAACCGTCTTCCATTTATTTCCAGCAGTGAAAAAGAGGTCTTCTGTGTTGTTGCATTTGCTACTTCAACATGTTACTGAACTCAAAATGAATAAGGACCAAATTAATGTAAAATGCCAAATGAGTGTAAAATTCAAAACTTTGTCGAGAAATGATAACTGTAAGTTATTTTTGGACCTTCAGTGAAAATATACATGTAAAACATACACACTGCTAAGATATTTATGTCTCCTCAAGGTTCCTGGCCATTCACATTCTGCAAGGGTAAAAGCTGTAACTGACTACCATAGTCAGTACAGACTGGGAGTGAAAGGCAGGGATTAGGACCTGTGCGACTACTACGTGTCAGTGCATTGCACTCTGTACTGTCTGAGATTGTCTCACTTGTGGTTTTATTTTGTTAATAGGACAGCAGCCTGCCTTCAAAGAATCCTCCTCAAGATGCTGTTTCTAGATCATCTTACGTGAACCTGAATCGCTTAGCGACCCCAACATTAAATACAAGTACAACTAGAGGAGCTGCTGTTGCTAGTGCATTGCCATCAAACATAAGGGTTCCCTCTCTTGGATCTGAAACATCATTAACTGGCATCAATTCATCTGCTGCTCCTCAGAGCACATTTGTGAATGCAGTAGTTAACAATAATGGTATTGCAAGAACTAGTGGAAGTACAAATGCACCCTTCAATGTTGGCATTGTTCCCTCTGCAGTTCCAGTGTCAACTGGAGTTAGTTTTCTTAAGGCTCCTGGCTTGGAAGCCACTAGCAATGCAGTCAACAAAGTTGGAAGCACTGGATTAGCAATTTCTGCTTCACCAGGGATTGTTGCAATACCCAAACCCTCTGTAACATCTGTATCAACATTTCAAGGCAAAAAACCCATACCTATCCAGCCTAAAACACCCAATGTTTCCTCTGCCGTGAGCAACTCAACAGTTGGATCTCCGGGAAATCGTGGAATGCAGGTGATAAATTCAGGACTGCCTCTTGTTACGCATGTTGCACAAAAACAGTCTGCTGGTGGACAGCAGAATGTTTCACCAGGGCATCGTGCTGCGTTAAATGGAATTGATTCTAAAGCAAATGTGAGAACTAATGTTGCAGCTGGAAGTGCACATACTATTAAGTCGTCTCCAGGCAATTTACAGCCAATTCTTTCAACGACTCCTGTTAAACGAATTGCTCCTAAACAGCCAAGTATGTTACCTCAGACTAATACCATGTCATCACCTCCTCAAGTAGTTGGTACCCAGCATAAGATACTTCTGCAACAAGTGTCGAATCAAGTTACTCCACAGGTGCAAACTGTTGTAAACCAAGTTTCTCAAGGGAATGTCCAACAGCAAAACCATGCAACACAACTTATCCAAGCACAACAACTTTTAAATTTGATAAGAAGCCAAAATCCAGCAGTTCAGGTCTCTCAGCAGACATCGCCCCAGGTCGTTCAATCTCAGGCATTGCCAGCAAATCAAATTAAGCAGATTCAGCAATTAGTTCAGCAAAAACTGTCCAATCAGCAGCAACAGCCATCAGTTGTACAAACTGTACAACAGAAGGTGCTGAGTCCGGCACAACTTCAAGCTGCTTTGAAACAAAAGCCACAGCTCATGACACAAACTGTGCAGCCAACTCAACCACAGAACATTGTTGTCCAAGAAGAGGTGATCAAACAACTGCTTCAGCAAGTGACGCAGCAAAAACCTGCACAGAATATTGTGCAACCGCAGCAGTTGTTTCAGCAAATACAGCAGCAGTCTCAACCTGTTCAGAAGCAGATCATAGTACAGAATATTCAACCACAATCTGTTGGCCAAGGACAGCCAACTACACAGACTTTGCAGGTTAATGTAAGTGCTCCAGCTAAGCATTCTAATGTCAGTCAAAGGACAGATACTGTGGCCTCTCCTGTTAGTATTCAATTGCAGCAGGTTTTAAATAACCAGCAGAAACAAGTGCACCAAATTCTTGGTCAACAGCAGGTAAATCTGACACCGCAGCAACAAATCACAAAGGACCAAGGTGCCAGGCTACTTCAAGGAGTAACCTTTGTACAAAATCAACCCAACAAAACCTCGACTGCGCAGGTATTAAATCAAGGAGGTATTGTTCAGCAAGTTAACTCTGTTACACAGCAAGGAAAGTCAACCACATCACCCGTTGTTCAAATTGTGACCACAACACAACAAAACACTCTGCCTCAAGCACAGCAGGCACAGAATTCAGGAGTTCAGAAAGTCTTTATCATAAAACAACCTGAGCTTTTACAAAAACTGGGGTTACAAGGGACCAAAACACAACAAACTATTCAAATTACTCCACAACAGCTTCAGGCTCTCAAACAGTTTCAGTTGCAACAGCAAGTCGTTAAACAGAAAATTAGCGGTAGCAATCTTCAAACGGCAAGTAATGTGCAGCCCAAAAGTCTGACAGCAGATCAGTTAAAACAGTTACAATTACAGCAACAGCTGCAAGGCTCTGGAGTAAAACAAGTTGTCTTACAAACCAGAACACAACAACCTGTACTTCAGCAACAAAGACAAGTCAATGTCAAGACACAAGGAAAGATGCAGCACATTCCTAGAATTCTTCAGACCTCGGGCAGACAACCTGTGTCCCAGGTGAGAGGTGACAAATTAAAAGTACAAGCCTAACATGGAAATAAAGAAATAAAAAAAATTATTTAGCAGTTACAGGTTAGTCGGCTGAGGAGCTTCCTTGCCTGTTTGTCTGTCTGTCCCTCTGTCTCTCTGTCCATTTGTCTATTCATCCATCTGTCTGTCCATTTGTCTGTTCATGTGTCAGTCTGTCTTTTACCTGGCTGAGCAGCCTGTCTGTCAGTAGACTGGGTTGTCTGTCTTTCTTTTATCTGTGTTTATCTTTTTGTATGTTTCTCTCTACTTGTCTGTCTGTCTGTGCATCATTCTGTGTGCCTGTCCATTTGTCTATCCATCTATCTGTCTGTCGGTCTTTCAGCTGGCCAAGCAGTCTGTCTGTCAGTAGGCTGGGTTGTCTCTCTGTCTTTCATCTGTGTTTATCTGTTTATATGTTTCTGTCTACTTGTCTGTCTGCTTGTCTGTCTGTCTGTCTGTCTCTCCGTCATTCTGTGTGCCTGTCCATTTGTCTATCCATCCATCCATCTGTTTGTCTGTCTGTCTGTCTTTCAGCTGGCCAAGCAGTCTGTCTGTCAGTAGGCTGGGTTGTCTCTCCGTCTTTTATCTGTGTTGATCTGTTTGCATGTTTCTGTCTACTTGTCTGTCCATTCACAGGAGGCATTGAATAGATGGAGGCAGCGTGGCCGAGTGGTTAGAGCACTGGATTTGAAATCCGTAGGTCCCGGGTTCAAATCCCATTCTGACCGCTAGCTGATGTTGTTCTCGGTAGCCCCAAGTTCAACTTCTGGACTACGCTTGTAAAATAGCCAACTGGTCTGCCTCCCGCCAGTTGGGATTCTTAACCTAGTTATGTTTATTTGAATATTTATTTATCATTGTTTGAACATTTACATTGGTCCTGAAAAGCCCCGATGGGGAGTGGCCAATTATGTATACATTTTCTTTTTTCATTTTCAATAGATGTCTACATGTTAATCATTAATTGCCTTGAATATTGTCTACCTTGAATTATTGTTAAGTATGAGTCTGTTCATCGTATTTTGTTTTATTTTGCATTTTCTGAATTTGCTTTATTACTTAGAGCATCAAGGTTTCTGTGCCAATCAAGCAGGAAACAAGTAAAGGGGTGAAACGCCCACATTCTTCAGAGACTGCAGATGTACCAAAAGCTGCTTCTAGGTGAGTCAATGCAAAGTACTGGCTAAAATATTGACTAAATGTTGGAAAGCATTTCAGTAAGTAAGTCACTGGAAGTCAAGTTTATTGTGTATATACACTTAGCTTTTTTGAGAAAACTCATCAGCTAGTTTGCAGGTATAACACAGGAAGTAAAAGTAAAAGAACTAAAATTGAGAAAATACCTTCAACAAGTAACTAAGAAGATGTAAGTTTAAAATTTAAGATTGAAATCTATTTACATAGGACTAGGTATAACTTATTCATAAAATGAAATTAAGCTAAGACTAATTAATAATACAAGATATAAAGTTTTACGATTTCAAGTGCTTTTCATGTGCAATATGTACAGTGTACAGTGTAAGTGCAGCTTGAACAGTTTTCTTAAGTATGAGCTTATCACAAAAAAAAAGATGTAAAAGCATACAACACAGGAAAGCATGCGTAATCCAAGGCACAATTGGTTTAGATTTTATCCCTGATTGGATGCAGATGCAGTAAATTTAATTGGTTAGTATGATTGCAACACATCCATCACTTTTAAGGCCTGGTATATTTGTTATTCCTGTTTGAATGCTGAAATCATTTACATTCACATGTGAAATGAACTTAAGATTATTTCAGAAACCTAATTTTTCATGAGCTTGTTTGTTAAAGGGGCTATGTTGCAGGGTATGTAATATATACTGAGTTACCTAAAAATCTGTGCAAAACCTCCAAGTGAAAAGCAAGGAGCACTAAAGAAGTAGCATGGTTGTCACAAAGTTTTGGAGAAATTTATATAACATGAAAGACCATGTTTGATCACATTTCCAAACACCAGAAAGAGAGTTGAAAATACGACGTGCAGAGGAGTATTTTGATGAACTTTGAGGTGTTTGGAAATGTGGTCAAACACTGTCTTGAGTGTTTGATATATCTTCTCAATCGAAACCAAAAGTAAGGAGAAAATGGAGAAATAAAATCGCAAAAAATCTGTGCTAATTAAGATCAGATGTCGGAACACTGTCACGGTCATGATTTCCTTTGTTTAAACTTGATGAATTATTAATAAGCTTGAGAAGTGCGTGGCTCTAGTCTTATAGTTGGAATAGTTAGCTGATTTTGCCATCTTTCTCTAAAGAGTTTGATTAATAGCCCTAGATTTCTTCATTCATCATCTGTAAATATTTCCTCTTCTCATATTCACATGTAGGTTAAAACAAGGCCTTACACAAGATCAACAGGCTGTGCTTCGTCCTGACATAAAATCATCTTTTACCTCTCGTGAGGATGTCATTAAGAGGCTTACACCTTATCATGTGTGTTATGACCCTAGCCCAACTCCTGCTGACGTTCAAAAAGGTTAGTGTTTACAACTGGCATGTTGCTAAAGAAAAACTGCACATTACTTTTTTTAGGCAGTCAGGTTGATGGGTAGACATCGTTAAAATTTAACTTTTGTGCTCCAGTGATTTTTTTCTAAGAATTAGTAGCTTTAAGTATCATTGAGACTCGCTTACACTTATCAACAGTGTCTTTATACTTACAATTTTCATTGTACACTTCCAGCTGATAGTCTCTACAGCTCTGTGTCATCCCAACTTGTGAAACGTAGCCAAAAAATGATGGAAAAGTATCGACAACTTTTGTTTGATGAGAGTATGGTAAGTGGTGCTCTACTTACATTTATGTCCCTTAGAGCAGTTTTCGATTGAGTGTTGTAAGTAATTAGACAATTACTTTGGTTTTGGTTTTGGTTTTACTGTGGTTTGAGATTAGCTGAGTAGTCTAATTGGTAAGTAATTGGTTTGGTTTTGGTTTTGGTTTTGGTTAAAGTTTTGATCACTGATGTTTTGTAGAGGGAACATCCATCAGCAGAAATGGTTATGCTATATAGAGTGTTCTTGACTAATGAACGTGCTGCACTGGCTGAAGAAAAAAAACTGGCGAAAGGTATGCTTTGTCTTTGCATAGATCTGTATAACACTTGTTACATATAAGTAATGGAAAACCATTTTTTTGGCAGATTGGGAGAACAAGAAATGTTATGGGGCGAGTGTTTCCACAGCTTTTCAAGTTCTCACAAATTTTCACAAATGAATACAAAGTTAGTAGAGCACTGCACCAGTATTGCAGAGGTCATGGGTTTGAATCCCATTCAAGCCTGAATTTTTTTTCAGGCTTAATTTCACAACTGCTTAAGTTGTGTGTTTAACTGTGATTATCAATCAAGTCTTCATTTTGAATACTGTTTGAAACATCCACTTTAATTTATTTTCTCTACTGTAAGTGACCTGTCAATTAAATTCTCAAGCATTCTCAAGAACTTAATGTCAAACCTTGTAAAAATGCTTAAAGTGTGAGTTATTTTGTTTTGAGCTGACATGAAATGTCCCTCTTCTGTAAGATAGGGAGAACTTCAAATTGAATTTTCTCCCATGGGGTCACCTTGAGAGTTAAGGTCTTGATAAGGTGTTCTTAACTCTATTCAAAATGTTACCTGTTAGGAGGTTTTCTTGGTAAGTTTATTTTTTGCCTTTTGTGCTTGAATGTTCATTGGAAACTTTCTCAACATCAATTAAATGTCATATGGTATAACCCTTTGTTAGATAGACAATTTAAATAAAACTTTCTCCAGAAGCCCATTTCTCAAAAGCCCCAAAAACTTTTTGGGCCCAGAAAGCCATAGCAAGATCTCGAACTTTACGATTACAGACCTGTTATATACACATATTCTTAATATGAACAGAGGTTCATACAAGAAGTTTCAGGCGTATACACTTCTCTGTTTTCAGATACAGATGACCTAAAAATGGCTTTACGGGCCTGAAAAGTTTCTGGGGCTTTCGAGAAACGGGCCCCAGGACCCAAGTTGTGATTTTTTTTTCACATCAGCAGACTCTCGGCACCAGTTCATAAACTGTTGTCTTTACCACTTGAAAATATAATTTCCTATCTTTGCACTGTCATGTAACATCCTCTATGTAGTAAAATAACTCCATAAGAAAAGTAAATATTTGATCTCTTTGCACAAGTTCCAAGTTAAGATGTCATTTTATTTTCAGAAAATCCTACGGAGCTTTTGAATGCCATCAAAAAGGGAAACAAACTTGAAGAGACCTCAAATAGTATTAAACCACTGGACACTCCTATGGAGGATTCACCTTCTGTAAAGGACACATCTTCTTTAGTGACGTCAACCACTGAGAATGACTTTGTCAGTAGTATGAAAAATACTGTGTCAGAAGCTTCTTCCAAAATTTCTTCTCTATTAAACATAGATATGTCACAGCCATCAAGAAACTCTTTGTCACCCACGACTGAAATTTCTTCCTCAACCTCACATCTTTCAACAAGAACACATTCGTCAACTACTTCTAGTTCTGTCAACAACCACGTGTCTAGTTTCTCGTCAAAAGGACTTTATAGCAAACAGACTTCCCAACTCAAAGAGCAGACTGAGGAGAATCACAAGTTGTCGACAGAGTCACCTGTTGATATGCCGATGGATACAGAGTCTGAAAAAGAAGACGTTACTGCTACTTTGGCTCTACTCAATTCAATGGCATCTGAACTGGATGAAGTTTTGGATGTAGAGGGAACACTTTGAGAGCAGATAAATTATTTAGGCAACTCACTATGAATACAGAATGAAACACACCCCTTGGGTAGTTAGTTAATTCATACTTAATGTAAGATCATTAACTTGGTTGGTAATCATTTTATTGGTGATGAGATAAGTTAACCACCAAGACTTTTCAAATTACTTTAAATGCTCATGGTTAAGTGGCACTTCTAGGTGGGCTGCAGCCTCAAGAAAGATGAGACAGACGTTGAGGTTCAGAAATGTTTTAATGGTATAACAAACAATTAAGATTTAAAAACACTGAATGCTTTGGAAGCTGTTGTATGTTTATTTCTTGAAAAATGATTGCTAATAACTGACCTGGTTGTAAGCCACACCATATAGTTATATTCCAACTTTTGAACAATAAGATGCTGTCTGCATGTGGGTAATTAATAGTAATTCCCTCCCAGCAATGTTCACAGGCATTTCAAGCATTCAATGCAAGTTGGCTGTTCTCCATACAGACAATGAAGATCACAGGAAATTGACAATACACCTTTTTACCAATACGGCAGCCATTTTGAATTCCATTGTTTCAAATAGCTACTATGGGATGCTTGGGGGCAAATTAGTATGTATTTGCCTCCTAAGCATGATAGCTATATAAAACAATGGAATTCAAAAAATGGCTGCTGCAGTGATAGAACACTGTAATTTACTTTTTACATTGAGCACAGATCATCAAGCTAAATGTTGATACTGTCACCAGTCACTGATAAAACTCTTGCACACCTTGGAGTGGATTTGAAATGACAAGTATTATTTAAATTTTAAGAACAGTGATAATAATTTTTTCAGAACCAGAGTCAACTGCCAACAGGGTGACAGATTTCACTGTAATGTCTGGTAAGATTATTTTTGGATCTTGAGAATTGCAAATTTCTTTTGCAAAAAAGCATCCCTCTAGACTGCTGTAAAAAGGCCATGGCCGGTTATTTATCATTAATGGCCACCTAACGTAGCTTTAAAATGCTTGGATCTGACATTGTCTGGCTTTGTGAGCAGTATCCTTTGCAGTACGTATTGCGCAAAATGTCAGCTGTTTTTGGGCTGTTGGTGGTTATCTTATCTTGTCAACCATTTGTTGGTAACAGGAAAGTCTGTTTGCTAACCCTTTGAGTTAATGCAGTAGTTCTTTTTCAGACTAACAAGTCGACAATCTTTGACAACTGGGTCTCTTTTCACTATAAGAACCCTGCAGGACGCTTCACTTAAACGCACACGAAAATACATGTACTACAAATAGTTCCACTTAGGTGGGAAGTTGCTAAGAGATAAGAGAAAAGCATTCATACAATGGCTTTGAAAACTTGTCACAGTTTTCACATTCGTTATTTATTCAGTCACAAAGAGTTCCTATAGATTGCTTCTCTCTTCTCACCAAGGTGTTGCTTCAGAAAATATCCATACTCCCCAGCTGAAGGTGTTTTGGTTTGACCCCCTACCCCCNCTCCCCCCAATAAACCCCATTCAGACCTTTCATTGACCTTCCACGGGGTGGTATGAATATTTTCTGGTCCAGCACAATTTGCTGTTGTATTCCTATCTCCTTTCGTACTGTTTCACTATTTGATATAATCATTTCCAATAGTGTAGATATACTTTTTAACTCCATCTTCAAAGTGAGGAAAAAGAATCGTTAATTTGCAGGAAAATTAACTGGAATGCTGGGTCTCACTCAAAACCTCACAAAAGGATCCACACTGTATGAGAACTTATGGTAGGTATGGAAGAAACAATATTGGAAGGCCAAAAAAAAAAAATTCCACTTCTAATGCTTTTTTGATTTTTTTGATAATGCAAATGAGGAAGTACAGAGATGCTTTTCTGGTGCCACAAATGGTATTGGTAAAAAACGATTTTTTGATTGGCATGGTGCAGTTCTAGAATAGAAATCTGACGGCTTAGCTTTTTACAGTGCAGACTCTTTTGTAACTCCAATTATATGGCTCCAGTTACACCAGTTGTTGATAGCAATCTTCTGTGAAGATAATCTCCATCCGCAAGAGAAGTTATATTCGTGAATTATAGAATTTTGTGCTTTTGTATATCTATTTATAATGTATATGATATTTCCTATGAAAATATATTAATATATTCTCTGCTTAAATTTCTTTTGTCTTGTGTGTGGTACACACCCGAGGGTGGGGGTTCCATTTGAAAATGTCGGGGATACTCGTCTGAAAATTTGAATAAACCCCTAAAAGAGACCAATTTGGGCGTGGCTCAAGTGACACCCTGAAAGATACCACTGAATAAATCGGCTCGATTATCAGCCGCATTTCGGGGAAAGAAGCCCGTGCTAATAGACCGGACTCGAGAGAGCGGCGGAATTTGAGCCTAGAAACGGAAATGAGAGAGCATGGATAGTAAAGAGACGACTATCCATGGAGAGAGTCATTGTTATTTCTTCGAGTGCACCTGACGACAACAAATTGTGGCATTTCGTCGCGAACACCTAAAGTGAGACCAGGAAGCCCCGGAAGCTTTTCGGACCCGTAGAATTTGCTATGGTTTTCCGGATGCGAAAACTTTTCGGGACCTTCGAGAAACGGACCCCTGCAGAATCCTTGGGTGATTTATACCCCTAAGCGAGACGGCGACCGTCCCCGACCTTTTTATGTAGGAGACCCCTCCCAGGGGTTCATGTTGGCGACAGACGTTTTTGTGCAGGGGGATGTTGGTTTCACTGACCCCAGCCAAGAGGGAATGAGGGTCCCTCATAAAAACCTTGTTCCTCCCAAGTTATTTTTAGAGATGATAAGAAGTTCTCGGGGCTAATTGTTTCTGCGCATCCTTACTGCCTACACGAATTCACACGCCACGTCATTCAAGAGCGCGCGTGCTAAGTAATAAAATGAACGAAGATAGGGCAGATGGCCATTGCTATAGCTTTGCCTGCATCTAACGATCTTGGACGTTTGGTGACCTACTTTTCCTCCCAGAAACAGATTTTATTTATAATTATATGTCTCCACATTGTCCAAAAATAAACAAAAAATCAATGTGGGAAGTTAAAAAAAATTTCAAGATTTCTGTCCACGGGACATTGAATCCTATGCCATCTTGCGGCTGCAAGGCTCGTGAAACTATGGTCGCTAAATGCGAACTTGTTGGAACCTCACCAGTTGACTAAATTCACTAACTAGGTCCGCTTAAACAATATTGGCAGAGAGTATTTCACTTCAAAGATCTTATTGCAATATTTTCGGGCTTTCAGAAACTGTGGCCATATTTACTAACGAAGCCCGATTTTTTCAGATTTAGGGTGTCCTTCCGGGCATGTTCTATCCAAAACGAAGTCGGTCACCCTCCATTTTTTTTTTTACATTTCTGGCATAACTAACTCATCATCTTACAGTGGTAAAAGTCTCAGAAAAAAATCAACGTTGGAAAATTTTCGCGCATGTTTTCGTAGCGAAAAGCCACTTGAGGCGTCCACCTGAGCAAGATCTGCTATTTCTAGATACTCTTGGGACGTTCAAAACCGAAAGTGATCTAATGAACAAATTGACTTCAGTTTTTTATGCGTCTGTCCTGTTATTGATGATAAATTTCGTCATAACATTGTCAAAGTGGCTGTGAAACCACGAGCCGCAGGCGAGTGGTTCCGCGGTAAACTTAACGTCCGAAATTTTAACATCCAAGTATTTTTGCAAGTAATGTAAGTCTATACCGTTGATAATCTCTCTTACCCTTTATGAGGGTCTCTATGGGGTAGTGGCTTTACGGCTAACGTTTAATATTTTTGTTTCTTTAAGGCTAACGGTTAATTTATTTTCCTCACGGTTAACAGAAATCTTAGAAATTAATCAATATTGTTTTAAAAAAGTTAAAAATTTATTTTGAGTACGGCAAGACCTATTTAAGGCAAAGGTCTGGTGCGAATGGAACGGAATTTTCTGATTGATTGCACCAAAGTGCAAAAAGGATGACTCTCCCCCACTTTTGTTCTCCTTGGAATTATTCAATGACTTCGATGTCTAAATGCAGAAGCTAACAGAACACTGATACATCGACATCGTGACTTTTAGGCAACAACAGCAGCGAAAACGTCGCAAAACAAAGGGTTTAATGGTGCATTGTGGCGGTGCATGCGCAATGGCTCGGCACGCGTCATAAATCTTCGTAAATTTCTCAGCCAACGTATCCAAAACAGCAACGAAAAACAATTAAGAGTGCAATCCATTTTCGAATACGCGTCTTTGTCATCTTTGCGTGAGATGTCGCTGAGATCGCGGCCAAAAGAACTAGCGCTGACTAGGAAAATTACGAATTTACAAAATTTCTGAAAAAGGGGACAACCTCCTGAGGTATATTTTCGAACTTTTTTCCTCGAAATAATCGAAATTACTGTTCCAATCGCTTTTAATCCCGAAATTTCCCAAATTTTTGTTTGAATGGTTCGCTTTTCGGAAATTCAACAATTTTCGGATTTTCTGGAACCTTTCCTAGGAAATTTCCGTACCATTCGTCCCCGTTTCGAAATTTGCGGAAGTTTTCGTAAAAGCGCCCCAGGATTTTTCATCGCCAAGTGAGAACGTGCGAACTGTGGGCACTGGGGACATAATTCGAGCCAATCAGAAAACAAGAATTATGTGGCGCGAGCGTGTTGTAAAGCGTGCAGTGCACGAAGGATCGCAAAGGGGCGCGAAGGTTACCGTGGGGAAATCATCAAGACAGACCACGTTTGTGTTTACAGAAGACATCTCAAAATAGAACGTTTGTGAGCATTGGTGAATCCTTTTTCGTTGTAGTGAAACTGGCCGAAGGAAAGTGCTCGACTGTCTACGTCGTCTGGACGTTCGACAAACACAAATACTTGAGGTGGGATGACTTGCTCAAGTTTTGAAGAGCTCATTTCGTTGCCAAAGAGGCTGCAGCGGTTGGTAAATTAAGCTGGCGAATCACAGTGTGAACAGCTGACTGAAGAAATGGTTAGGAATTTTTCACGTGTCTTTAAAACGGCCGAACAAGAAACCTCTGCAGCTGTTTACGTGTACGTCAGTATGTGAGTGCTGTTTTAAATATTGTTTTGTGTGAAATATGTTTTGTCAGTAGCACTTTGGTTAAAACCCCAAAACTTCTTTATTAATGCGGACGGTGTTGTTTTGTCTCAGGAATGCCGAACGTTCGTTGAGCGCCATTTTTCGTCGTTTACCTTTCTCGTCTGTATCGTATTTGGCGAACGTCAGCTTATTTGTCATAGCGTTCTAATTCATCACAAGTTCCAAGGAAAAGGTAGGAATATCTTGATAACGAGCCAATTTGTGCTGGAGTATTCCGAGTTACAGACACAACCTTTGGGGAAAAAAAAAAATCGAGTGAAAGGAGTTGTGGGATCCTGTATTTGTTTTGGTTTGGGAGCGAAACTGCGTCATGGTCCCAGCAGGGGGAGGGTTCTCCTTGTCCGGGCTATACCATAAACTTCTGAAGGTAACGACCCCTCGAAAGTAACTACCCCCTAAGGAAATAATCCCCCCGAAAGTAGGGACCCCCCAAAAGTAATGTCAAAAAATTGTGGCTGCTAATAAGTTGGGAAAGTAGCGACCCCCCCCCCTTCTGAAAATAGTGGGATCAAGGTTCACTGGTATACAGTTGAACCTCCAGTTGCGACCACTTCTTTTAAGTGACCACCTCTCCTTAGTAACCAGTTTTCCTAAACGCCAAAAGTTTCCAAGTCAAATCACTATATTTAGAACCTCTTGTAAACCACCACCTCTCGCAAGTGACGGTTGCCAGTTTGAGAGGCTAAAAGTTTGAAATTGTCTTTTGTTTTTTACTCCCCATAAACGACCACTTGACAGATAATAGAGAGAAAATTGGATAATAAGGTGTTGTGACACTATCACATTCCTTGGTAGTACAAGAGACAGAGTTTCCCAATGGGAAGTACCCGATTTTTTTCTCGAAATTGACTTCCACATGAATAGAACATTTTAGTCATGGGGTAAGTCTCTGCTGTTACCATATGCTAATGAGGCAAAATTTGGACCCAATATGGGGTAAGCTCTTGTAAGCGACCACCTCCTGTAAGCACTTGCAGGAGGTTTGACTATTTTAAAAAAAGTTACCGTACTATCACTTGATTTAAGGCACTCCACAACAAGGGAAGGTATCGCTTATGCCATGAAGGGTTTTGAAACGTCAATTCATGCTTTGTCAGTGTGTCATGTTGAAACAAAACTGTAGAATTTTTATCAAGTAACAGGAACGTACTAATAGGAACTTTTCTTTCAATTAAAACTGAAAACTCTGTATCATTTCAGCAGGTGCGTATTAAAAGGAGCGTTTCTTCAAACCTAAATTGAAAACGTGATCAACACACTGTCATAATGTTAAGGCAGGCTAACATAGCAGTGCGTCACGAAGAAACAGTTTACAGTATCTGACAAGCTTTCCTGCTGGCCACTGACAACACGGTCTAGGCATAAAGAGCCCACCCATTTGGCAGCAACATAGCTGTAAACTGGAATGGAAAATTTAATTTGAAGAACTGTTTTTACAAATTTCTGTCTTATGTTTTGTAAAAAATAGCTCAGTTGTACCAACTCCATAACATTTTTTTGCTCCTCGAAAGTAACGACCCCTCAAAAGTAATGACCCCCCAAAAGTACATGTAATGAGCCCCAAAGGCTGCTAATACCAAAAGCAAGGAGTATCGTTACTTTGGGAAGTTTACGGTAAGTTACTTCTAGAATATGGAATTAGGGCCGGGTTGCACTACAGTCAAAAACCAAAATTAGCCCATGCAAAAACTTCTAAAAATTTGAAACCGCAAATGGAATTGCCAAAAATTTGAGAACATTTATCAGGGTCGCACTGCAAATTACATATCAGTGATCAGATTTCAGATCAATCCGCCAACTGCGCGGTAAATGTGTGGTGATTTTGGTAAACATGAATGCGAATCAGGCGTTTTGTGTGGCTATTGCTGTTTTACTTCTTCAAATTATCAACATTCAACTGCAGCAAATGTTTGCCTTTTTCATTCTGTATCAGAGATGGGCAAATGAATAGAGGGAAATTCTGAACATTGCTATTCTAAGAAGACGGCGACATTTCCGTCGAGTTCGTAATAGGCCCTACACATGGACTATTCCTCGCCCAGCCAATTCATGGTTTGACATCCATTATAATGACCCGACAATTCCACAGGAGTACCTTCGACAGCAGTTAAGGGTTAACAGGAACACTTTCGAAACAATACTCCATATCTTGGGCCCGAGATTAGAGAGGCGAAACACGCAATTCAGGAATTGTTTACCTCCAGCGAAAGTTCTTGCTTTGGGGCTATACCACTTGGCCCACAGAAATTCATATTCAAGCATTGGCCTGGTATTTAATGTAGGCAAATCGACTGTTATCAAGGCTGTACAAGACATTGTGAATGGTCTCTATGAACTTTGTGACGAGTATATAAAATTTCCAGAGACTCTCGCTGAGGTCAATACATTGATTGCAACGTTTGCAGATCTTACCAACCTACCAAACGTTGTTGGTGCTATTGAAGGCTCGCATATTAGAATTAAAGCACCCAATGACAGTGCACCGGATTATTTTAGTTGGTATCAGCAACATGACTTTATAATCCAAGCTATTGCTGATGGCAAGAAGATTTTTAGAACCACTCGGGCTATTGGAGCTATTGCTGGAAGTTGATGTCGGACTGATGGATCGGTTCTGAGCACTTGCCAAAATACCGTTAGGCCTTTGTAAGTCCAAGTCTGGTCGAGCCTGCATAGGGTTATAGCAGCTGAAGTTGTGAAAACGCATTGGGAAAGATCCGGGCGCATAATAATAAGGAAATCGTCTGTCCATGCTAAAACCATGTGCATAATAATTACAAGGTTCCCGACGATGAAGGTAGAGGATCGACTTGCAATGGGTCAAATTGATTAGCGATGACATCTCTGGAAGCGGCTTCCTTTGTTTTCCTCGATTTTTTCAAAATCAGCCTGCCCCACCCATGCACTACGGTGTCTTTGAAGTTTAGTCGGTTTTCCCAATTTTTTTCTAAACTGGCGAAAAGCCGGTTGCATTAGGAAACATGACATGATGACAGATTTTTAATCTAAAACAAACACAAATTTGAACGAAATTTCACAAGTGCGACCCGGCCCTTACATGTACTTTCACATTTGTTCCTGTATCTGTTGAGTTACAGAGCCACAAATAGGGTATTGAACTTTCCCATTTTTTTCTTAAATAGGGCATAACTTTTGCACTTTAGTCTTGAATTGGGTACTTTTTCACTATTATCCATAAGACCATCAACAAAAGCCTTCCACAAGGACTTTAACAGCAGGGAACTAATATTATTATAAGGCAGGTCTGAAACAGGGTATTGATTTAAGGGTTAGGTTTTAAATAGGGTATCAAAGTTTTGGTCAGGTCATAAATAGTGTAGGGAAAATCACAGCTTTTAGTCTTTAATGGGGTTGAGGGTTTTGGTAAGTGGGCCACATACCCATCCCCCCCATTAAGCCGGTTTTAAAGCATCAAGCCGGTTTTAAAGCAGCTACACTGGCTTCCAATAAGCCAGCGCATCAATTATAAGATTTTACTTTTAACCTATAAAGCGCTCAACGGCCAGGCCCCTAATTACATTACTGAACTGCTAGAGCCTTAGGTACCAAGCAGAAATCTTCGATCCTCCTCCAAAAACCTCTTGAAAGTACCACCTGTCAAGTTAATAGGCTATGGTCATAGGTGTTTCTCTTTTGTAGC